TGTTTAATTTATTTTATAAAAATTACTAAAAATTATAATTATTAAATAATAATTTATAAAATAATTAATATTTATTAATTAAAATTAATTAATAAACTGATTTTTTAAATATTATTTAAAAAAAGAAAAAGAAAACAAAAATTTTAGTAACAATCCCACACTAATGTGTGTTCGCCTAACTTTTTGGTGGAGGGGAGTGAATAATCGAAAAAAAAAGGGACAGTAATTGTATCAAAACTACGCTTTAAAATCGCACTTTGTGCGATTAGTCTATATTGTACTTTCAAAAATATTATTAAATATAATAATATTGATTTATAATTTAAATTAACTTTTAATTAATTATCATTGAAAACTTCCCCCCTCATTTGTCCAAATGGAAGATGAAAAATAAATTCAACCAGTTAGGTCCAGTCAGGTTTGGGAGAAGCCAGGTCTCAGGGACCGTCCCATTACTACGTAGTATATGGTACTAGTATGTGTTTGGCATGGACTTCTAAAAATAACACTTCTTTATTGCATAGAGAAGAAGCTAAGGCAACATCACAAAAAAAAAAAAAAGAGGGAAGAATAAGCTAAGGCAAACAGCTTTTTTCTAATAAGTTTTTTCTAGATGTTTTTTTTTTAAAATAAATTTATAAATAATCTTAACATTCTATGAAAGAAGAGGAAAAATCATCTTAAAAATTCAATTGTCAAATTTAAAAGTGTTCTCACTTAAAAGACAAGTAACAAATTATTTAACGAACCTGCAAAACATATGCTTGTTAATTTGTGCAAATGGAAAAGGAAAAGTAAAGTGAACCAGTTAGGTCCAACCGGTTAAGGTGATCGTCGTCATGTAGTATTTGGCATTAGGGCGTGTTGGACTTCCAACATAACAGTGTTTATTGCATAAAGAACAAGCTAAGGCAATATTAAAAAAAAATTAAAAAAAAAATAAAAGGGAACAAGCTAAGGCAGTTTAAGGTTTTTCTAGACGGCTTGCTAATTTGCTCAAATAGAAAAACAAAAATAAATTGAACCCTCAGGCCCCAAGTGTAATCTGTTTAAATAGTAATAATAATAAAAAAATTGAACCATTGGGAGCAGCAGTCCAAGAAGCATCCAATTGTCATGTAGTATTTTGTACTAGTTGGTGTTTAGCTTAGCCTGGACTAAATCTATTAATCATTCTTGATAAAATTTAAGGTGAAATAAGAAATAATTCACCAGAACTCAAATCTGCAACCTTAAATCACAAAACTCTCATTCACTAAACCCCACAAATTAAACAATGAACAACATTCAAGATTTAATTCATATGAGCTGCAAGAAAGAACATTACCCTAGCATACAAATTGAAAAACCCAGAATCAAAAACAGATCTACAAGCATAAACTAAGTAAACCAGGAGGAATTCGAGAACCAGAAGCAAAATTCATTAACAAGAGCAAAGCCTACCCAAGAGGAGTGAAGAGAAAGAGGGTACCTGCGAAAGAGAGAGGGATGATAATCTCTGCTGGAATTGAAGAGGATGATTTGGACTCCTCAGGCGAGTTCAAAGAAGAAGTGAAGAAGTGTATAAATAGAGCAATTTAGGGCTAGATTATGAGTGAGAAAATCCAACCTTAAGAATATAATGAAAAAAAAAAAAGTGAGTTAAAACACTACCCCACTTCTAATTAATTAATTTTAAGTTTGATGTTATTTTTATATTAAAACTCACATATAAAATTTTTATTTATCATCAAAATCCAAATTATGTTCTATTGTTAGCTCACATGATACAATTTAAAGTTGATACTAGGCTTGCTTCTAAATTTAATAGAAAAAGAGTAATTTCACATAATAATAATTGATTTTAAATTAAAGGTTTGTCTAATTTATAAGATAAGGTTAAAAATATAATAAATATATATTTTTATATTTAATTTATATAAAAAATTATAAAAATTAACATATATTTTAATTCTATTGGTACATATATGTTTTCTATTGATTAATTAAT